GCTGACAGGATTTCGGCACTGAAAAGACAAACAAGAAGTGCATTCATAATGACAATCGTGTTCACCTCTGCAGAGCGCCGACCGCGGCTAATTTCAGGTAAGTGTTTTGGTGAAAGGGAGAGGGAGATTGGCGGCGATAATTTAACTTGGTGCTGTTATCATCTTTGTTGCTGGCCCAGAGGGACAGGCTGGGGGTTCCTGGGGGCCGGCCTGGTGGGGAGGGTGGCTGGAGGCAAGAGCTCCCTGCACTGCCATGGGGACAGACGTGGCATGAGTTGGGAAGGCTCAGCTGATGGGGCTGATTAGCTCACCCCAAGTGGACACATCGCCCATGAGACCCCAGGCCACCCATCCCACCTGGTCTGGTCTTTCAAGGCTAACCCAAACTCTGTCATTTTTGTGTGTGTTTCCTTGCTGTGGCTGACAGCCTTCCAGACAGACACACTGCTGCTGGCCCTGCACCAAGGGCAGGGGAGGCGATGCGGGACCTTGGCAGGACACAGCACCATCAGGTCACCTTCTTAGCAAGGATCATGTTGCAGCCACTTTGGGTTATTCCTGAGGCCTTTCCTAACGATTTTCTTGTGTTTTCTCCACAGGAGCTACTGCAGTCCAGAATTCCCCTTCACAGCAGGCACCAGGACTTGAGGCCCGAAAGCAAGAGTCTCCCAGGGCTGATCCATGAGGGATCATGGGGCAGGGAGCTACTCTGTGGTCTCTGTTTGGCAGCTGCTGGGTGTATTTTTGTGCAAGGGCCCACCTGGACAGTGCATCTTGCTGTAGTTTGGCCTAGCAGAGCGGGGTCCCGGGCCCAACACTGCTCTGGCCACGACGCAGGCGCGCGGGGGCTGAGCTGAGCCCAAGAGGCAGCTGAGTGCCCTGCATGTGATTTATGCCCTGGGTTTAACAGCATTTCATCTTAGCAGTCACGCTCTGTCGGCCCAAGCGTTTGGAGGGGGGAGCTGCCAGTTAGGGCGGGCAGCCGCTGCGCCCCGCGGCCTGCTCCCTGCTCCCTCCACGCGCGATCCCCCTTGGCAGCGTGGAGTGGCCCATGGCCCCGGCCCCGCCGCAGGGCAGCCCATGGGTGCAGGTCACGGCCGTGCCAGCGGTGCCGCCACCTCCTCACACCCGTAGGGAAAGGCGGGCCCTGGCAGAGCGTCGCCATGGCGGGAGCGTGGCAGCAGTGCAGGGATATCGCAGGCTGGCGAGCTGGGACGCCAGGCCATGGGGCAGTCTCCGACTGGAAGCAGCTGCATGGATCACACAAGCCAAGCAGGCGCCGGGGTGAAGGGCAGGGAGCAGCCCTCGCCAGCACAGCCTGGCTTGGACGGCCCCACGCAGCCTATCAACAATCCCTTTCATTCCCCATCCCTACTCTTATTCTCTGGGAGCAAAATTGAAAAGTCAAGCATAATGTCTCCAGAGCAATACTGCCGCAGCACTGACTGCTCAGCCGGCTGCACAAAGCTGGCAGCGGTGTGACGCTCTCGGCTGACTTTCCACGCCGTGCAAAACAATCTGCTTTCCTCCCTCTCTCTGGCCCTCTGGCTCAGTCTGGCTCACACCGGTGCGTTTCAGATGTGTTGATACACCAGAATAAATCCCCAGCCCACATCACCTCATTACTCAAGTTCCCACGTGCTCTGATGCAAGCTGGCCATTTCACCACTGATCCCCCACGAAAGGTGGCACCGTTGATAGGCTTTTCGTGCTTGGTTCTGTTCAGGTTTATCTGATGGTCTCACGACGCAGAGGAGCAAACGCAGGCCCAGCACAGAAGGGATGCAGCACAGGCAGCCACATGAGCAGCTTCCTGGTGATATATGCATCTTATATTGCTGGGTGTTCCTTTCAGCCTTATCAGCAAGATGGATAGTTTAGGCATAGTGAAGGACAAGATAGTAATAACAATGGCCATGATTACTATTTTTCATATTTTCTTTAAGAGCAGTATTATATTACCAGGCCTCATGCATGTCACTGTTTATTAGCTACCATTTAGCAATCTCTTCCATCTTTGCTTTATTAAAGTCAGAGGCACTATTAGCTGACACGATAGCAGGTTCCTGTGACCAAGCAGGCAGCTCACAGGGGCAGCCACACTAGGAAAACCCTTGATTGCTTCCTTAGATCCACGCTGAGCTTGGAACCACAGGGCTGCAAATTCCCTGCTGGTAACATGCATTTTAATATATGGATATGTATTGTTTCACTGGACCTAATTTTTGTTCCCTCCTTTGCAGTGCTCCACCTATAGGACGGGGCTTTTGGAATGAAACAAATAGTCCTCTTTATCAGAATAGGGAAGAGTGGCCTCAACAAAAAAAGAATCAGAATCAAATGAGAGAATGAGAACAAAACAAAACCAATTACCAAAGCCCTTCGCTAGCCTGTAATATGCCTGTAGGCTGAAGGAACACTATTTACCAGAAAACCAAAATCACAGTATTTGGTTTACAGCAAATCAGGTCAAGAGGTCAGGATATGCAAAGACATCATCAAGATATGTAAAGACATCAGCTGGTTATCCAACCTCATTGCTGATCTGATGGGCCAAGGAGAACTGCAACTGGGGGAGGCTCTCCTATATACACAAGGTAACCCATAAAAGTCATTACCCTTTGAGGATACAATCTTGAACTGTACTGAGACTCAACTGGGAGGCTGGTGCTGCCTCAATGTGTCACATATTCAATGGGATAAGCACAGTTAAGTGCACAATCATATTTTTGCCTAGCTGCGGCCTTCAGGGCTCCTTCAAGCATAGCTGACAGGGAGTGAACTGCAGCGATCCCTGAAGATGGGAGGGACTTGAGTCCCTGCATCAGGAAGACTGGTTGCAACTTGCTGAGGAGCTACAGGGAAGCACTTGGCTGGGTGCAGTTCCCGACACAGCACGTACTGAATGCCTTCAGCCGGAGAAATGCTGAGTGCTTTCTCTCTGGGGCTTGATTCTCATTACACAAAGGTCACTTAACATCCCTCTAGCTCTCTCAAGAAGCCTTCAACTGCATGTAAGCAGAAGTTATTCCTATTTTAAAGCCTGTTCCAAGCCTGAGGCAGCTTTAATGTGAAGCAATCCACAGCAAGATCCTGGAAAAGTGCACTGCCTGTTCACACAAAGCACCACAACACCGGGGTTTTGGACAGGAAAGGACTGAGAGGCTGCTGGCCACTTAAAACCACCAGCTGAACTACCCAGCCTGGCTTTTGGCCAGGACACCCATGCTCACAGTGGCCTCAGCTCCAAAAATGAACAAGAGAAACAGGCTGCAAATGCTGGTCTGGGCATTACTTCAAAAAACAACGATGAGCAATATTATCTTGTATCCGAATGCAACATTGATACAATGGGGAAAATCTGGGAGAGTGAAACCCAGATCCAAGCTCATCCTAACCACAGTGCTCACCAGTTGGCTGTGTTGAGCCAGACCCTGCCCAGCTTCGTGCTGTGGATTTACAGCATTGTGGACATGCTGGCTGCAGGGGCCTTGTCCAACCTCCTGCTCCTGGATGGACCATCACCAACACTCAAGCAGCTCAGGTATTGTCTCTGGCCACATCTTGAAAACCTCCCAGGATGGACACCTCTCTGGTTACATATCCTTGTGCTGTACTTCTCCCATGGTGAAGAAGTTTTTCTGTGTGTTCAGTCTGACTGTCCAAACCATAATTTGTGACTGTTAGCTATGCTAAAAATCATTTAATGCTGGAAAAAAAAAAAAAAAGAAAAAAGAAAAAAATGGCTCCATTGTCTCTGTAACTTCCTTTTAAACAGCTGCTAACCACTGCAATACTAATGTCATGCAAATCATTGTCCAACTCTTCAGCAGGAATGGGCAGAGTTTGAGCATCTCCTGGATCAAAGTGGATGACCCCAGATATAATTAGTCAAGGGGGAACTACCAGGCTGTAATGTGGCAATTCCTCTGTATCCTGTACAAATTGCTTCCCCTAACACTTCATCATTTACCTGTATTACACTTCAATGCTTCTAGTTGTAAGAACGAGCTCAAGCTTTGCATCCCTCTACGATATCCTTTCTGTTGATGGCTGTAAGGGAAACAGAATGGAAATTATCTATACTGAGGCATTTTATGCAGAGCATTATGGGCTGGGAGAGAAAAGGCCGAGGCGCTTGCCCTAAGCCAGGAGGAGAGGAAAGCTGAGAGGCTGCAGCGGACAGCGCGGGGCACCTTCATTCCCCACGGGGCTGGTGAAGGGGGCCAGAGCACGGTGTGCAGGAGCGGCAGGCTGCCCCGGGCACACGGCCCTGGCCTTGCAGCCCGGCAGCATCGCCCGCGGCCCCTTCTGCTCCATGGGCACCAAGGGATGGGAGAGGGACAGTCCATGTGGGCCATGGCCCCTTGGTGAGCCCAGCAGGCTGCCCTGCACACAGCCCGGCAGGCAGTGGCTCGTGCTGGCCCCGTGCCCGGCCCCCCATCAGCCCCACAGGGACAGCTGCTGGCCAGACGACCGGACCAGGAAGGTGAAATGCTGGCACGTCTCACATGGAAAGGGGCAGGAGCCACGCAAAAGCTCCATGGAGACACATGGAAAAAGGCTCAGAAATGCCTGCGTTGGGCTGTGCCTTGGCGGGGTGCCGTCGTGGGCACACGGACTCACGGAGAAAGGGAAACCAGATAGAGCATCTTGTCTGGGTGAGCTGTGCAAGCTCATCAGAGAAAGCAATGCACAAGCATTTAGCAATCACAAATCAACGGAGAGCCACAGAGGACTTTGGTATTTACTTTCCATTCCAAGAGGCCACAACTTAGTATTTCCTATTAGAGGAATATGAAATATGCCCACCAGCTTTGAATTCCAGCTCGAGCCACACTTGCAAGTACTGAGGAGTTTGTGGGCTCAGGCGTTTGCTTCAAGGCGAATGGTGAGTGCCTAAAGAGGGAGCACTGTGAGATTTCAGTCCCTTTCCAGCAGAACCATGCAGAGAACAGCCCCTGTACCAGTTGCAGGCAGGTACAGGGCAGCAGAGGCTGTCCACTGCAGGTGAAAACAGCAATAAATTCATGTTGTGGACAGAGGAGGCCAACTGCACAGAACTGATCCAGGTTACCCATGTTTAACAAACACGGATTGGAATAAGGAGGTATCTTCTCAAAATCCTTTTGACACATTCACCTTTGAGGGCTTTTGGCAAAAAGACAAGGCAGGAACGTTAAAGGGTCAAACTCTGGGTGTTTGCTTGCTCTTTCCTCAGGCAAACCCTCACTGACTGCCCTAAGGGAAGAGTGAGGGCTGAGCAACACTGGCTGAGATGGCCCACTTCTAGCACTGAAGCAGTTGTCTGGCAGAGTCTAATGTCAATAGACAAAGCTCCTTCAAACACCTCCTGCTCCCTATCTGCTGCACGCTGCCGGAAACGGCAGGCACAGGGGCTGCTGGTTCAGAGCTGGCACCTTCCTCAGGCAGCGTCATTAGCAGTCGTGTCGCTGTACTTAGATGGTGCAAAGGCGCAGGCCTGGCTGAGAGCAGGCCTGAAATCAGCATTGAATGAAAACCCCAGCTTTGAGGAGCCTCTCCACCACACAAGATGCCCTGGAGATCAGGGGTATGAGGAAGGTCTTGCTGAGAGATGACCTTTCATGCACAGATGTTTGTGAGCCCCGGACAATGCTCCAGTTAGTCTGTGCAGACGAGGCCGCTGGAACCTGCAAAGGCACCTGCAGGAGGCAGCTCCCAGGGCAGAGCAGCCGGTGACCATTCCCAGAGGGTCTCCTGGGCTTCCTTGGGTGCATGTAGACACCTTGCAGGCAGGCCCTCTACTTGTGAAGACGAGGAGACAGGTCTGCCCACAGCAGCTAACCTGGAGGCTGCAGTTGCCCAAGCAAGGCCCTGGTTCAGTGAGCCTGCTCCCATGAGCAAAGATTACTCGTGCACAGGCTGCAGGCCCCAGGGCTGCTGGGCTTCCCTGAGGTCTCGTCACTGCCATTATCCTCACTCCATTCCCAGATGGTGTCACACAGTCTGATGTGTCATTGCACAGGCGAGGGACAGCTTTGCCAGGACATTTAATCTTCTACCTGGGCTTCTTTTTTTTGCTTCTAACCAAGGCAGGAGAATTCAAGTTCTGCTTCCAACTCAGAAAAGGTCCCGAAAGCCAGTGCTGATGTCAGGGAGTTGCTCTGCACAGAAACACAGACACGCACACCCAATCACTGCCACAAGGACCTTCTGCAATCCCTGACTCACTCATGCCCCAGCAGACCGGCAGAGTCAGGTACCTTGGCGGGATTTCATCCCTTCCCTCTCCCACACAGCCGGCAAGAGCACCAGCTCATCACAAAGGACTGACACACGCACTCGCCCGCACACCAGTGCCCTGCCTCCCTTCCCACACAAACGGACACGCTGTGAGGTGGATTCTCACGCTTGTGCACACTGGGAAAAGGCAGCCTGGGATAACACTCCCATGGCTTCCACTCAGGCATTCACTGGTAGCTGATTAATGATCCTCAGCTTAATAAGCTTGGTGACGGTGAAAGCAAGTTCCCTTCCCATTCTCTGTGTCCAGCAAGGCAGTCCCTGCTCACCAGTACAGTGTCTGAGAAAGGCTGAAATGATCCGAGCAGTCTCCTCTACCCGTCCTTGCTGGCTACAGGAATCCTTGCAAGGAGCTGGGACTTCGCCTAGGATCCGAGGTAGGCCTGGTGAAAGGGAGGCCTCTGGAGGAGACTTCCCAGAACCTCCACAGCACCCTGTAGCTGCGGAGTCAGAGCCATCAGAGCTGTCACTTGTGCCACCAAGCAAGTGACAGGTTTCATCCAAAGCAGAAGCAGTGGAAGGTCACAGGCAGTGATAAGACAAAATGCCCACAGGACTGAGCACATACCTCATCGCACAGAGGATGGAGATGGTGATGTCTCATGGACGGGCTGCAGCCCACCCTCGCAGGGGGCAGGATCAGCGCTGTGAGGAGTTCTGCATCACCCCAGCAAACAGCAGCTTCGTCATCGCATCCCAACACACCTGACACAGCACCACAGGACCCTGATGTGCAGCAAAACTCTTAGGCAAAGGAACTGAGGTGGCATTTCATTTCTCTCGTAAAAAAGCATGGCCTGACATGCTCACTCAGTGCAGAGACAGAAATGGGACTAAAGTTAGAGGCCAAAATGTCAGCCTGAGTGCACAGCCAGGCATCTCTCCCCTGTAGGTCCTCAATGTAACACATTTTATTTTGCTGTGTGGCAGCACTGTATAGTACACATAATTTACCAGTAGTTTCAGAGCACTACACCGGCATTTCTCCTGAACCTTCCCTGAATTTTGGATAAGAGGCAGGACCATTATCCTTTCCTCCTTTTCACTTGTGAGGAAACAGGCCAAGAAAAGTCCAAAACCACAGAGGCACTTGCTGACAGGACTGGAGACAAACAGCCAGGCTCCCAGTCCACTACTCTCACCACTAGGTTCCTCTTTGGCTCAGGGCTGAGAGCAGATCCAATAGTTCCAGCTCTACACTAGATCACATTCCTCCTAGAGAAACTCTCCACACACCTGAACAGAAATCAGACTAAGGAGATTCTCCAATTGCTATTCAAAACCCTATCAGATTTTAAAAGGATTTACTGCCTCTCTCTGAGAGGCTGTGAAATATTTGGGGGCATTCTATGGGGGTCAGTGATTCTCTAAAATTTTGTAGGATGATTCATAAAAAAATCTCAGGAAAGGTTTTTGTTTCCTGTGCAGTCCTACTGGAATTTGTCACTAGGGTCCTGTCCAGATGGGGAAGAGAAAGACCATAAAATAGCCTGGCCTTCCCAGCACATCATATCCTCTTTCCTAAAGCATGAAACTGCAGAGCTCTGGCAGCCAGCTCCATCTCTCACTGCCACAGGGAAAGCTAATGTTGTAACAGATAGGGACAGTGCAGCATGTCACAAAGAAACAAATCCCAAAATGGCCCGTGGAATAGACAGAGCCAGTCAGAAAGCCAAACGTGCCATGGAGAGCAGGAGAGAGGAAGCGCCTGGGCCTCTCCCAGCAGTTCGTGTCAGTGTGTGGAATGGTGCATCTGGCTTAGAAGAGCAATAACCCGATTCCCCAGCCAGGACCCCTTCAACCACAGGAAGAGTTCGTACAAGTTGATCTGCCACAGGCTCAGGGTTTCTGTGAGTGAGATCTGCGCCCTTCTGTAAAGCGAGTGAGTCTTGCTCCTCTGATACCTAGAATGAAAAACAGGTGTTATATATTGCAGCATGCAGTCCTACATCTTCAGCACAAAAAATCCTCCCATTGGAGTGGGAGCATCCCATTTCTGGAGCATGATCAGCAGTGGAAGCTCTAGGGAATAGAGATTTCCCTCATGAAAACATTCCTGAGTAGCTGGGGACTGCCTTCCTGGCATAAATCTGGCTGAGGAGACCGCCTGCTCATGTGGGATCCTGGTTCTCTTCCAGTCACTCAGCCTGGAAACTCTGGGACAGCAGAAGTGAATTGACTTACAAGAGTGAGTAGGGATCAGACCCACAGATGGAAACCAACTGTCTGCTTTCTGTTCCTGGGTTTTAAGTGTCACAGTTAGTCCTGATTCCTATATCAGACTGCACAAATAGACGGCTATGAACCTGCAGATCTTTCTTACCTGCAAGTACTTTCCAGAAGGGATGCCTATAGCAGGCAGGAAGCCCATCCCCTCTTCTGCAGGGAGTTACAAGGCCAAATCCAAAACATTCTAAGGTTTCCACCCCCTCCCAGGTCCCCAGGCAGAGATGAAAGACTGGTCTTGAGAAGAGGCTAGTGGGAGTGGATGACTTGCATACATGAGAAGGGGAAGGACCTGACAAACTCGGAGAGGTCCACAGCCAAGCACAGGAGGTCAAGATCCATGTCAGACCTCTAGTGCTCAGGCAAAAAAAACTCACGTGGAAACAGCTCTGATGCAGCAGCGAGACATGTTGAGGAAGGAGCTGGCGCTGGCCCGTGTGTGCAGGGCTGACTCGATCCCTCGTAACAAGTCGTTGGTCTTCAGCAGCAGCAGCATCTGGCGGGGGACGTTGTTGAGGAGCTGGGTGATCTGGGGCAGGTAAGCAGCAGCATTGGACCGGATCTCCACGTCCTGTGGCCAGCCACGTCATGGACATGTCAGGGAGAGAGGAAAGAGAGCATGGGAAACTGCATCCAGATGTGCCTGAGATCTGTCAGGAGGAGACATTTTGCCAGACCGTAACTGTAGGACAGAAGCTTAAAAGCTCTTCCTCTTGTTGCGCTGCAGGCACCAAGCTGTCCTGAGCACTCACAGCACAGATGGAGCTCATTCTTGCCATATTCCACCAGCCCTTCGGTGAGAGAAGGCTCCCTCATCTCACTGGCAGGATTAATAACCTCTCAGGACAACAGGGCACTTGCTGCTACCTCAGTTCTTGGCCACGAGCAGCAGACAGTGATCAGGCATCACTGCCACCCTTGCGGCCTCCAGACACCTTGGCCTCCCTAGTCCAAAAGCTGAAAGAGCTGCAGGTACCACTGGACTAATCAAGAACGTGGAGAAAGCTGCAAAGCAAAGCCAGGTAGCTCCTTGTCACCCATATTTTGCCACCCATGTAACCGATGGCCTCATGTTATATTAAGCTAGCTATTTCCAAGGTCTGGTCTAGTCCTCTGTCATCAACACGCTCATCAGGGGTGAGAAAATGTAACACATACCTTCGTGGCAACCCACAAGTTTACAAAACTGTCACACTACGCCCAATTAAGGGTCCATCTGTCCGGTACGCATCTAACAACAGTCAATATCAGACGCTTGAGGAAAGGGTGTAAGAGCAAGGACATGCAGAGCAACCCTTCATGCTCTCTGCTCTACCAGCTTCCAACAAATAGCTTGCCCAAGGCAAGATCATCGGCCAGGATCACCAAATATGATGACAAACATCAGGCAAGGGTCAGGGCCACTTAAGATGGGCTTTGCTCCAAAGATAAGCAGCCTTAGCATGGAAAACAGAAAGCCCTCAGGCTTCTGCTTCCGTTTATATCTAAAAATTCACCCAGCATCTCAGTAAAGAGAGCATGGTATGGAGTTTCTAGGACATGTGCAGTGCCCCTTCATCTTGCTCCAGAGGCCATGACATGAATCAGAAAATTCAACTAAAAGTCTCTGGAAAATTTCAACACTCCAGAATCCAGCATGGCCCATGCAGAGGGTAGTTAATGTGACTTCGTCCTAAAACTTCTCCCCCAAACCTGGCAGTCTTACACTTCATGGTGGAGGACCTAACACCTACCCTTTGTAAAATTAAGATTAGTTATACAGGGACAGGGCAATGAGCTGTACAAATCTACTGTGCAGCTTGTGACAGTCAGAGATGCCTACAACTTGCAGAGCATCCCAGTTGTTTTGGTGCCCCATGCCCCGACTCCAACACTGACCACATGCACAAAGCTTCAACAACAAGAGGCTTAGCTTTCCTAAATGCCCTTCCACTGTTAGTTGTCTGAAAATCCTTCCCAGAGATTCTTATCCCTTTATCCCAACCAGCACCACTGAAAAGGCTATTTTGTTTTGCACATAGAGGTAATCTCTTGCTTTCTTTCCTATTTCTTTCCTTTTTATTTTTAGCTCCAGCTGTTTGCCCACATCACAAAACAACCACATCATCTGTCAAGAGAACTGTCATTTCACATGAAGCCTGCGCACAGGCCAACAGTGAGCTCGGCCACAGGACCTGAGAAAAGTCCCTTGGCTGCAACAGCAGAGACTGCTGCAAGATGCAGCAAAACAGCCCGATAAAATCAGCCAGGGGTAGCAGCCACCCTGAGCAGTCGGCCGCCTGGCCTGGCCTCACAGCAGCAGCAACTGCATTTCTGGCAATGTGTGCAGGTGTGTGACCAGTCTGCTCCTAAAACTCCCTGCTGATGGGACCCACATCCTCCCAGGACCATCTATACCACTGTTTCTTTAGCTTTGCCATTAAATACTGCTTTTCTCATGGTTTACCCAAATCTCCTTAGCTGAATTTTAAGCCCATTACCTTTTGCCCTGTTTGCAGCAGTCTTTGAAAGATTTGAGAATTGCTATCATGTCTCTCTTCAGCCTGTCCTTTTCTAGACTTTCTTTTCTGTCCTAGCTTGCTCAGATTCTGTTCTCGGGTGGCACCTGCCTGACATCCAGCTCTTCTTGTGGCTTCCCACGGAAATCCCACCAGCTTCATCACACCGTTCTCAGGATGCAGCACCCCAAGCCGAACACAGCTAAGCACAAGCACAGCTAAGGCTTGGTATCAGGAGAGTCACCTCCCTGTCTTATAGGCTGCTCTCTTGTCCTTATGTCCCATGCAGGCTGCCCAGAGCTCTGTGCTCACTGCCCCTGCCTACACGGTGACAAAACCTCCCAAATTCACCTCCCAGCCAAGGCAAGCAGCAGCTCATTCCCTAATGTCACCACACATGTGCTCAGCTCCCCATTAGGAGGGGCAGGATTATCCAGTTTCAGCACGAGTTGCATGGTGTCAGCAATGCAGAGCTGACTCCATAGGGGCAACGTGGCTCGGCCTGAGCTCCCCAGCCTGCACGGGGTCTCATGTGGCTGCAGGGAAGCCCCTGGCACAGTTACACAAGCCACCTTGGGATGAAGGGAGCTTTTAGCTCCGGCTCTGCACCGGCTTGTACTCAGGTCAGATCTTTGTGGAGCCATTCGGTTGTCTCCGAGCAAGCAGCTCCAGAGCTGATCAGCTGGGTACTGCTAGACACTGCTTATATTATTTCTGATAGACAGGACACTAGCCCAGGTAAGAAGTATTCATACTACTGGGGGGTTCATTACACACAGTATCTGACCTACTCATTATTGTGTATAATGGCAGTCCAGTACAGCAAATTCTGCCACATCCATCAAAATCAAACTCTGACCCAAAGGAGCTTCCAGAGGAAAATTTCACAGCATAGTGCTTAATGCTACTTAAATGAATTTCATCCCATCTACTACAAATGCAGGCAGATTAAAAACAAACCATAGGACACCAAGTGTTTCTTCACACAAAGAAACACTGGTCCATTTACTCAAGTCACATCATTATATGCTGATCGCTACCAATAGCATGGCTGATGGGGCTGCTACTATTCTTAAAAGTAGCATTCCAGGAACACTAGGAGGTGCAGAAGGATCCCAGCATGTGTAGATAGGAAAGGGGGAGAAAATTCAAGTGGCAATTTCCTAGATTTGTAGTGATTGAGTTGACAGAATTTGCAGTTAAGCAACCTTGACTCCAAGTTAATAGGGTTTCTGATTGGAAGGCAATTTCCAAGGGTTTTTAGGCATATGTATCAGTGTTAATAACCATTTACATGAATAGTGATAATGTATTATCCTTATCACGTCTTCCCACCAAGCCTTTATGTATCTTCTACCTCACCTTATCCACCTTACTGGTTCCCAGCAAGGCTGCATTCAACACTCCCCTTTTTAAGAAAGGGCTGATTTACAAACATTTCCTCTGCCAGAACTGATGAACACTTAGCCATCAAAATATTGAAAATTCAAGCGACCTATGACAAGTAAAACTGAGAAATTAAGTTGAGCCACTATAACACACATTGCAGAAGGATGTCCAGCTTTCTCCAGCTCAGTCATCAGCAGAGATACCAGGGATTGCCCAACTCACTGCAACAGCAGTGATGCAGGTTACAAAGCGGAAAGGCGCCAGAGGAGAAGGAAAGGCGCCCAGGACCTACCTCGCTGGCTGAGACCGGTGAGCGGTCGATGCCCCTGTTGACAGACTCCCAGGACCTGGCGGTGAGCATGCAGGCGAAGAGGGGATAGAGCTCCCCCGCGCCGAGCCGCCGGCTGTACCTCTGCACTCCCTTCATGTCGGCCTGGATGAGGGCCTGCCAAAGGCGGCAGTAGTCCATGCGGAATGACTCGCTCAGCACCTGGGCAGGGAAAAGCAGCCCTGGGAAGTTCATGGAGGACAAGGGACTGAGGTAGAAAGCCCCGTGCCCCAAAGCTTCTCCATGCACCCCATTTTGCAGTCAGGAAATTCCCTAAGAAGCTAACAGGAGTAATAGGAAAAAAATCATTTGTACAGTCTTCAAGACAAAGCTACAGACTAACACCCACAGGCAGCCCCACAAGCCCTGGAAGCCTCCCCATAATCACATACCTGGTAGAGACCATGGTCCAGGAGGATAATATGGGCCTTGCCAGAGGCCGGGCACTTCTTCACCAGCACATTGCCTGGGTGCGGGTCACAGTGGACAAAACCATTCACAAAGATCATTTCACTGTAGAGCTTGCCCAGATTGCGCGAGATCTGTGGGGAGGTAGGAGTCTGTCACACACTGCTGCCCAGAGCAGGACCCGCGTGTGGGTCCTGGGGGAGCAGGGGTCAGCACGTGCCCACAGTCCCAGCCACGGTTCTTGCAGCCCCTCACACTGACAGAGCCAGGCAGTGGCTGCTGGCATCCACCACAGCCTCCTTCAGGGCATGGAGGGAGGGTCTGTGCAGGGGGCATCAAGATGTTTATAGGGTCTCGGGGTACTTCAGAACATTTGCCTGGCATATGAAGGAGAAAATCTCCGTGGGAAGAATAGGTGCCTGAGAATGAGGAGGAAAACGAGGGGAAAGGAGGTAGCATTCTTGGAGCAGCTACGGAGAGTCTCTGCTTGGGCAGGTCGGAGCAGAGAGGTGGATGTTCATGGGACAGGCATGGGAAGAGCTGCTGGGGAGGACGAGGTGCCACTCAGGGGGAGATTCCTGTTTTTCCATCTACAAATAACAGTGGGGCCAAACAGAGAAGGGGTAGGGGAAGACACGGCCTGTCCATCTGCTTACCAGAATGAACATGGGTCCCCCTCCACTGCCTCTGTCACCCCATCCCCCATTTCCCTCCCCACTTTCCTCAGTCCCTTGCTAATCTGATCTACAATGTCTGTGAAGATGAAGTGGCACTGAAAGGCCATTTAAATCATCCTGTCATTGCTGAGTCCCCCCGTGCTGCTGCCTCCTTATCACCCAGTGATTTTATTCAAGTTTAAAACCTCCTAGGAGCGAGCAACCACACACAGGAGCGGCGGGATCACTGCGAGCAGATCCCCTCCCCACACACCAACCCAGCAGCCCCAGCCTGGCACCCAGTCCCTGTCCCTCCCCACCATCAGAGGCGCACGTGCTCCACAACGAAGTGCAGAACAAGCAGTTAGGAGACCATAGCAATGAATTATCCTTATTGCAGCATCAGCAGCAATAGGCAACCCTCCCCACAAGCAGAGGTTGTGAAAGAGGCAGCGGGGATACAAAAGACAGGGCATCCTGCAGCTGTGGACTACTCCGAAGACAGCAGGCTACCCTTATGTGCCCTGGCAAGGAGGGCTGGGAAAAGCCAGCAGTGGAGCAGGTTGCTCAGAGAGGTTGTGCAGCCTCCACCCTGCACTGGATAAAGCCTTCATCACCCTCCCATCATCATTATACTGAGTAAGGAGCACGGACCGCTGCTGACCAGCTTGCTTGCTGGATGGGAGACACGGCTATTCCAAACACCTGGAGCATCCACGAGCTCTGGAGCTGGTAATATGCTTGGCACGGCTCTGTGCTTGCATACTAGCACCAAGATCATTATTATTATTATTATTACTACTGACAATGCACATGTCACTGTGCAGGTATTCACAGCTAGAAGTCTGCTGTTTCGTGCCCATATGTTTTTTGGAGCATGTCTTGGTACTTGAAGTGTTTACAGGCTCTTCTAGAGAGGGGAGATGAGTAGCAGCACATCATTTACTAAATGAATCACAAGCCAACAAGAAAGTGTGTTTTTCTTTTTTCTTTTGAATATTCATAGGACTAAGATTCTTGAAAAACTTTTGGAAAATCCATGGGAGGAACCTGCCATCTACATCACCACACTTCTCATACATGCTGATCCCTGTTACTTTTTCCAGCAGTGTCTCACCACTAGTGACATTGATTCCATCCTTATTGAGAAGGCCACCAGAAAAATAGTCTGTAATACAGGGAATCCACTTTGGAAGAATGTACTTAGGCAATTTGAGGAAACATTAAAATCTGCTACTCAGAGGGAGAGAGGAATTCAGCATGCACTTGGGCTGTGTAAGACCTCGGGGTGAAGGTGCATCGCAAATTAGACAAAAGGTTGCAATGATTTATGGAAGCCTAGACCAAAGTAAACACACGGCCATTCTGTTATGACACAGAGAGGTCATGGTTCCTTTCCCTGTTTAGCATCCAGCACAACGAAGCCCTTCCCCTTACTGGGGTCTCCTAGTACTGCTCTGCTGCACATGATGAAAAATAATAATCGCCCTTGGAATCCTGCATTTGCTTCAAGACACCTCATTAAGAGAGAGACACTGACAACATCGAGTGAGTTTGGAGAAAGCAAATAAACGAGCAGGATGCAGGAGGAATTTACTTAGGAAAAAGATTAGAAGAGCTAAAATGCCAGAAGCTGGCTAAGGAATGGCAAAGGAGGGGCAGTCTACCAATATTAAAAGGTTTGAGTACCAAGGAAACAGAGGGAAAACTGAGCATGCTACAAGAAATACAACTAGGCAAAAGGGTGTGTAATTAAAAGGGGTTAATCTAGGCTTAATATACAGGAAAAAAAATCATATGCTAGTCAACAAGAGAGCTGAGCTTGTTATGCGAGGATTATACCAGATTCTGTCTTTGGCCAGGTTTGTCCATGCCTATTGCCAGAAAGGGTGTTATTGCCCAAAACAGGTTCAATTTGCTGATGAGACATCTGAACGTGAAGACTCCGGTCACCAGGTGAGCCTGTGGCCTCAGCAGTCTGTGCAAACAGCAGCCCGTGGTTGCCTCATTACCTGACATCACCCTGTCACTGTGCCAGGCAAACCACACGCTTTCAACACAGTGTTCTCATTTCAGTTAGGAATTAAATGGATCACTGGGGAGAAAATGTAGCTGAGGAATCAGCAAGTAGTAGATGAGGAGGAGAATCAGCAGCCTTAGCAAGGGCTGTAACGCAACGTGGTGACAGATACATGCAAAACAACCCGACTTTGTGTAACTCTTAACTGAAATAAACACACGAAATCTGTTTCATGTACACAATATGGCAAGGACTCTACGTGTCCCAAACTATCCTACCTGAGTTACATGCCAATATAGAAGAAAATAAGAACACAATATAGACACTGAGGATCGCTAGCATACAGTATCACACAGTCTCTCCATAAACCAATCCAGTTCGCTAGAAATGAGGCACAAACTGAAAACATGATTTTGGAGCCTGTTCCAAAAATTCACACCTTTCATGGTCAGATCCCTTTCCCTGAATTACAATTTAATTTTACCTATGTCTAGTTTAAATCCCTTTACAAATATAATCCTTAATAAAATCCTGAATTTAACTATTTCCTTCTGGGTGTTTACTACTCTAGTCTGTTCATCAGTAAGACAATTACCACTATAAATACAGCATAAACACTACCCAATTTCTATAGGATGCACCTCTATCTGCTCTGCCCTAGGAGTTAATGGTTTTCTACACAGTTACACTGCATTGGAAACTCACACATGATCGACTGATCTGATTGACTGACTGAGGACTGACTGACTGATGAGTGATTGACTAATAAACTCCCAGCATTTTTAAGAAATTGTTCTTATTACTTTCAAAGTGCATGGCTTTTCATTTGGTATTGCTCATTTTTATTTGTTTCTATCATTCCAATCCTCAAGGCCACCAAGGACACAATGACAGAACCTCTCACCTTGGTGTCATCGAAAATACCCTTCCCACAGTTCTGTTTTTTGAGGTTATTAATGAAACTATTAGATAAGATCAGTTTGAATAGCAAACCTCACAGAAACCCACGTTTCCACCGCTTCCTCTATCACTTTCACTTCACAATTTCCCTCCTAATCGCCACCTTTTCCAGCTGCCTGACTCATCCTCAGTGCATGAGCCGTTTTGCTGACTAGACCTACTGCATTTCTGCCACCCAGTTTGGAGAATCCCAAGCTGTTCTACAATGAGCAGCAGTCATGTATTTCTTTTTGTACCTGCACATGTGAGAAATCGTTGCTGCTGGGCTGCAGCTGGGCAGGTTTTGCCTACCAGTTATCCTCACACGATCCCCTGTGAGCCGCTTTTGGCTAAGCCCACATTACACTCCCAGGCACACAAGCTCAGAGCAGCAAGCTGTGGGCACATGCCAGCCCCTGCTTGCAATGCACCTCTAACAAATCAGCATGCCCAGCTGGCAGAGCAACCCAACAGGAAAACACTGCAAAGCCTTTTCGAAATGGGTGCCCTTGCATGGGCACTGCAGGGCTCATCTCAGCCTTATCCACGCCTGGCAAGTCCCAGTTTCAACTGGGACTTGTTTCATCCCTTCCAGCCCCATCTCGATCTGTGACTGTCTCTTTAGATCAGGAGCAAATACTAGTTGCTGGCCTTAATTTGGCTGTAATATTTGCCAATTATTTTAAGAGACGGCGACAGTAACTTCTATTGATCTCATTAAAAGTAAAGGTCGTTGTGCAGCTCATTTCTCAGGGCTCAATATTACCTCCTCAGGCCAAAAGAATAGCATTGATTTTGGAACCTTAATCGAAGGTTAATTGGATTGAAGAGAGCGTTGGGTTTTTGTTCTCTTTGTTTGCTGGTATTGTGGCGATTGTCTAAGGGTTTGTTTAATCCCACTAGTGCAGTCCTGCCTACTTAAACTGGAATCAAATCAGCAAAGTGTGTGGAATGAGCAAAGATGGAGCCCGCTCTGAGATGGCCCTTCTCCACAGCAGACCAGAATGGGCACACACAAGCAATCCCATGTCACATTTTGCCTTCTATCATCAGTTGTCAGAATCAAAATGCAGTGCTCTGTACTGCAGCTGTATCACTGTGCACTGATCTAGCATCACACCAAGGTGATGTCTGCACACATAAGATGTGATTGAGATGCAAGAGTAGTTCCTAGGGCTTCTGAAGTCAACTCCTAGCATGCCCCACACACACTGTTGGGGCCTAAGGAAATTATTTTCCTACTCAGCACCCCATCTGCCATGTGGGGAGAAATATTCTGACCCATCTGCCCATGGAAATGAGACTGACTTCAGCTGTTCCCACAAAATCTCAAAAGGAACTAGCTAGGGAAGACCAGATTTTATTTATTTACCTTTTTTCTCTCTGTCAGAGCTGAAATGAATGTGAACAGAGCTGAACGACCAAGTTCTCCTGGCTTTAAATGCAGTCATATTTCCTTGGATTTAATGTAAAACATTGTGTTGGGATTTTTGAGCAATTCATTAATGTTGATGCCCAAGACTGACTTTCAATAAGAGTTCATGTCTAATTTAACTCTTTATCTGGTGTCTTCGCACAGCTTAGGAACTGAAAATGCCAGACATCACCATCCTTGCTTACCAGTGCCTTGCAAAATTTCATTAAGCTTCAGATAAGAGGAAATTTAGAAGAATACGCACAGAAATTGTTCTCATGACTAATTTGGGAGATGCAAAGAGCAAGAATAGCCATTTACTCCAGGAACAATGTTCTTTTCCATCCACCATTTCAGCTAAAACTTCAGTTTTATAAGCACAAATGCTTGAGATATGAGAGGTTTCAATACCTGCAATAATAGGGAAAAGATCCCACTTTGGGAAATCAGGCCTAAGTTTTAGTAGCTCCTCGGCCTCGAACCCCACACTGAAACCGCATCTCAAGTCACCACGTTGCCACAGCCAGAAGGTAGCTGGGCTCTGTATCAAGCTAAGAAGAGAGCAAGGAGATACTGCTGTGCTGTCGGTCTCATTTAGTAACAAACATAAGCAAAAAGCTTAGAGTGTGACAAGGTGATGGAGGGCCTTAGTAGCACACAGGAGCTCATCTTGGGCCCCTCAGCAGATTGCTTTCACTCCTCGGTTGGACAAAATACCTTCCTGACTCCTGAACCATCCACGGCCCATGACCCAGGTGCTTGGGGAGCTGAAGCCCAGAGCACCATTCCCATTCCCCAGCTCACACCAGGTCAGGATGATGGAAGTGGGGCCTGCACACTTGGCTGTCAGGGGCAGCCTGGTTAGTAGGAGGCACCACAGCACATGCCATGGACACACTGGTAGGGCCCAGTGCTCCCACTGCCCCTGACCTAACAGCTCTGTGCGGGTGGGCACAGCACCTACCAAGGGGGGCAGCGAGGGCCCGTGCAGCATAGCAGAGATAATGTTAAGATCTGTATTGAACAAGGTCTCTCTAAATGGATCAGTTAAAATCAGAATGGGTGCAGCAGGGACATCTGTGCTATCTGGGATCTTCTTTAGAAGTACATGTGCTCAGTAGCCTTGTCCTTCTTCTATGCTCCTTCTTGAAACCAGGGTGCTATGAACATCTTCAGGGTGCTGAAACCAGGGTGCTTTATTTCTCCTCCCTTCCCTGCTCCCCACTGCCACCTCTCTAGACTCCAAATGTATCTTCCCAATAAAGGCTACAAATGCTCATGTGTCTTGAAACAGGAACAGCCTACTTTCCAGGTTGCCCCCTTCTTAACCCTTCCACAGTCTTGTTTTCCCTCGAAATTCACTGCCAGCTCAGTTCTTTCCTGCTTCCCTCTCCAGGCTTCCCTCCCATTGCCAGTACCCCAGCTGCGCTCTCCTCCTCAGCTACACTTGCACATGAATAAGTAACTGTTCCACAGGCAGATATTTCAGTGTTTGCACTTGTCTTTGGAAATCAAAGCCTTCTCTGATTAAATGCCATTACAGTCCAGCGCTTGGACGGATCCAGAGAGATTAATGTGCTTTTGGGCAGCTTTAATGATAATCCCGCTACAGATGGTATTAAGTAAATGTCAGTAACCTGGTTTGAAGGGAGCTTTCACCTCAGGGATCCTTTCCATTTAGAAGAGAGAGGCTCAGCTTGCTTTTCAAGGCTGCATTGTCACACAAGAGAAATCCTGCTTAGAGAAGACTCCTCTTCCTCTGCCCAGTAAAACAAAATGGAGTAAGATGACAGAGGGGGTTGATAGATAGATAGATATATTGAGGTGATTTACAGGGAGTTAATGCAGCTCTTGAAACTGTTCTGTATTATAAATCACGTCACAGTTTTGAAATTTGGGTTTAAAGGAGTCTAAATCCTTAGACCCTTTGCTGCCTGTTGTCCTTGGCTCTCTCTGCCCTCTTGCCATGCAGTTCCCAATCAAGCACCAAGAGCAGCAGCCAACAACAGACCTTGCTGACAGACGTCCCCAGCGGCTGCACCTCATCAGAAGAGTGCAGGGGTCTAGGATGTGCACTTCTCCTACCTCATCTTGCTGTGGCCACAGCAGACCTTGTTCCCCACCACGTGCCTCTGTAAAACCAGGTACCTGCTGCTAGGCACCACTATGTCATTAGCAATTAGTAAAAGCTAATCATTAATTGCAGGGGGGAGATGAGTACGGGAGAGAAGAGGAAGACAGGGCAGCTCTGTTAAGGCACTGTGGCAATTTGTACAAATGTCCAGCCCTACCACTGTGCTGCAGTAACATCCTATAGCTCCCAGGTTGCCAGAAACCTGTGAGGTTATTCTGGAGAGCAGTAAAGCTCTGTTGACAACTTCTTTTTAAATCACATCTTCGCCATCATTTGGGGACTGGCTCAGAATCAGCACAATAAGCGATTTCACTGCTGCGTGGAATCTGCTGTGCCAAGACAACGCCTAAGAGCCTCCCCAAAGGGGTGGATGAAAAAAAATAAGCTAAGATTTTATCCTAAACCTCTCCTCCCATGAGGAAAAGCTTCTGCAAGCTAGAAAAGACTGCAATTAGCTGCTTCTCTGCTTTATTTTGTCATATACTAGCATCAAAATATCCCACTAAAAGGTTGCAGTCAGTGAGTTTTCCATTCCGACTGGCTGGAGAGATCCCTGGAAGACTGTAAAGACAGCGTTTCCATGAGCTTTTCCAGACAACTTCACTGTTTCTAGTAGTTTGACAATACTCAGAGAAGCAACCAAAATACTAGGGAGCTGCACCGTGCTGGCTACCTAGACCTCCAGATCAGAGATGGGCTCCAAGAACTTTCAGGAAGCCCAGCTCAAAACCAGAATGCAAATACTACTCATGAGCCCTCTTGTTAATGCACAAAATCAAGCCTTTCTATGTGACTTTTTCAAGATTTGAGGAATGTTCAGCTTTGTACCTCAGTGATGTGTGCTGCTTTCAACCTCTGCCTTTATACAAGGAGAAAGTGATTTACCTAAGACACACACAGTGAAAGGAAAGGAAGGTCTTCTGGCTTTTGACCAGCTGTTTTGTTCAGGTGAACGGAGCTGGGTAGGTGTTCTCCTCTGGACCTGCATTGAGGTACTTCAATAGAGAAACATGTGAAAAGAAGTACTCCTGCCTGCCTATACAAACTACGAGAAAACGCCCCATTGGCTTCTGCTGGATGCAAAAGCAGAAGAAGAGATGGTCTATCCAGAGAAAGAACAGGTTGCTCAGTCCTCTACCTGAAATTTGGCTAAGCAGTTTAGTCAGAGAAGGACCTTCACAGTGTCTTATGGAGGCAGCTGAGAAGACAGACAATGGTCTCTCCTTGTGTGGCATTCCCAGCTCATATTTCCTTCCTCAAGAGGTCTTTTTCATGCCTCTTCCTGATGCTATATGAACTTCATCATGGATAGAAAGGGAGTACCAAGGGATCCTGTGGCATTCCCTTGCTATCCATGAAAGAAAGGAAAGCAGGGAGAGAGGACATGTCCAGACTTCAGAGTAAAGCAGATGGATGGATTAAGTACAATTGATTTTATGCCATAGCTCTTTGATGGCCAGTCAACCAAGTGTAGCTTTGAGGCTCATCAATAGGGCATAGAGGGAAAGGCAAGCAGCACTGACTCCATCAGCACACACTGACCAGGAAGGGTGGTTGGACATGTTGTTTAAGGTTCAGGCATCTTCCCACCCCTTGTACAAGGCAATACCTTCCCTTCCTCAATAATCTCTTGGACACAGAGAGCATAAAGTGCTCTGTTGACTTCGTGCCACAAAGCAATTATCTCACTCATCAGAGAAATGGAGCTTCCACAGGGATGGAGTCTGGCAGCTGCTCAAGGACAGCAAAACTACATGGTAATGTTGGACCAGGAAGCAAGGAAGAAAACTGTATCTGATTGTATTCTGAAGAAAGAGGGAGATTTTGGAAAGCACAAGAAAAGAAGTCAGGTTAGAATACATGCAACACAGCAACACACCACAGCTGAAATTCCAGCACTCCAGTAACTGTGATCCTACAAGGCCTCTGATTTATATCTCCTTCATAAGGTGATAGCTCTTGACATACAAAAATCTAAATCCCATGCATTTTCCCAGGAGAAAATGAATACCGAAGACAATCAGAACCTATAACTGCTCCTTTAGGACACAAAGAACTGCCATTGTGGAGCAAACCATGAGTGTATGTAATACAAGGACACTGCCATCACTCACTATTTGTCTCTTTGAAGATCTGTCCAGCTCTGCAATTTTACAGGAGAACCTTCCCTAAAAGAAGTTATATACTTGAGCATGAGCACATATCTGCATATGGTCCCCTTCCTGCCCCATCCTGCCCTATTAGCCTCAGTGTCTAAAGGACAGTTGCACTGCCCTCCATAAATGTCCAGTTCAGAGACAGCTGAGAAACTACCTCGTTGACGTTGATGCCATTCTTCTCCATGTAGGCCCTATCGTTCACTTGTCCTCCTTCCATGAACTCCATGAGGAGCACACGCCTTGTTGAGAGCTCCCAGTAGATCCTGGGGACCTGCAACAGGAAAATAAGGCTTAGGTCAAAAAACAGCTTGAGAAACAGAGGAGAACACATCACATACAAGCCAGGAAGAAAGCAAAAAGGAACATTCTACAAGAGGTGGAAGCAAGGACCTGTTTGTTTTCTTGAGGAAAATCCGTCTCTTGATGAGGACACCTGCAGGCCTCTCCCCTAAAGAGGAGGAGTGAGTACAAAGACAACACACTGATATTACAGCAGCAAGAGCTGTGCTTGTGCAATCTCAGGCCCCACTTTACAAGACTTCTTCTCACTCCTGTTGAGGTCTACAAGTTCTCTTGTGCACTTTGTAGCTTCTGTTGCTGAGCTCTTTAACTAAACCTTGGAACTTTCTGAATCATCCACTCAGCTGCTAAGACAGGAACCACATCTCCTGTTTGCTACGCACGAGGCCCACTTATACAACTCTAAAAATGATAAGACATCGTCATAAATTGTATCTCAGCAGTGTTCCTTGGAAGACAAGCGCATCTGAGCTGACAAACCCTGCGTACTTAGACCATCTGCAATTGAACTGGGAGAAAAATCAAGTGTCACAAATAAGGGGCTTGTCACAGAAACCCTGGGAGACCCTTGAGTATCTTAATGCCAATGTGACACAGTAACAAGTGTAAAATGTCAAAGCACTTTTCATTCAATCTGCAGTAAATCAAGCTGAGTGAGTGAGGTATAAGTAAGAGGCCCAGTGCCACAGAGGGAGGCAATGATGCAGCATAAGAGAAGCCCTAGCCCAGGCTGACTTTTTCAGCCTGTCTCCAGCCAATTTCTCTCTGTGAAGAAGTTCCTCCTGTGAAAGAGTCGTTTTGCTGTAGTTCCTCTTTGGTGTACCTCACATCATGGTTCTGCTAGATCTCCCAAGCTGTCAGATTTACCTTCAGTCAAGGGTGAAGCCACACACATACAAGTTACCAAGGACCTCCAGCAATAGCCATTAATGTAGCCTGACACATTTTGGATCACGTGAAGAGAGTCATCTGTGCAGTCCACTCTCCTCACTCACTTTGGCTACAGATTCAGGATTCACATTTTGCAAGGGCCCAGTACTTTGGGACAGATCAGGAGAAGGGATGTTTTCCATCTAGTACAGCCAAAGCCAGAGGAACTAGCCAGGTCACTGTAGGTATCACAACTCTACAACCAGCTGCATTTGTTTTATATTCTCCTTGAAATACTTGAGTGTCCCAGCTCCTCATAGCTCCACAAACCATCTGTCCCCCAACACTGTTCCGGTCCTCGAGAGACCATTTTCCCAATCTCACTTCTACCCGATCACACATATGCCATTTTAGATCAGAGAGTCCTTCGCAGATCAGTTCCTACGACCCCAATTCCTGCCATTCAACACTCAAGCACACTTTGCACCTTAACCTGTGAAGACTTTAATACCAAGCATCTTCTAGGGGCAGGGGGATCCAGTTACTGCAGCTTTCCCAACTAATTCGAGTTTCCATTCTTTGCAACGTTAGGTAGGTGAGAAATCAGCCAACTCCAAAACTCACAGTTCCTCAGCCCTTTTAGCTTCTGTGGACTGCCTGCTAGACTTGCTGATCCCTGCTGCTGTAGATCATTTCAGCTGACACTCATCCCTGCCTCAACATTTACAGGGGCAAGTCAGAGGGCTTACAAAGCAATGTACACGCTCTTGATGTTTTTCTCGCCCACAGGCGAATTCTTTGGTGATTTTTTTAATTACTCACAGATGTTTGGCTGCAGTGCAAGTGCACAGAAACAATTTATCTCTGGTTTTAAAAGCTCAACTGGGTTCACAGCACAAAATCCACTTCTCAGCTTTCTTGCGTGTAGGAAAATTAATGATACAAGAGCCCAATTCTTCCATTGCCTTTGGGTGATGAACACGTCTCTGAATTGGCAGGTCAGACGGCAGAATCCATTATTTAGCCATCTCAAGCCATTTGTTATTGTTACACATATTGATATCATGATAGCTCCTTAACCCAGCAAGGAGATGATTGGCTGTCTCCATGGGGATTTACTGCACAGTATCCTAGTTACAGCTGCAATGGATACAGCTCTCCAAGGTGCATCACTTTTGATAAGCGCCCACTCAACAAAATCATCGACCTTTGGCTTCCTGTTGCCCTGTAGCCATCTGTGTTTACGGAAAGGCCGCTGGTGCCTCCGGGCACCAAGAGCACAGTCCCAAATGTAGAGCTTGGTGACAAGAAATGAGGACCCTTGCACGGAAGATCCAAGGAGAAAAGTGATATATCAGTCTACAAAATCTAAAGAAAACTTAATTGATCCCAGATATCTTGGGATTTTTGAATAAACAGGAGGTGAAAATGTCATTTTGATGTGTGAATGAAGGAGGGTGCATAGGAGGGTGTATTTTTTGCTGCCTTGGTGTATGTGCAAACCCAGACACATTATGCCAACAGCAATGCACGTGCTTGATCACACCTGCCTATTTCCAGAATGCGCACAGCAAAGGTTTATGCCTGTTGTGAGTGTGCCAGCCAAGGACATAAATGAGTGAGTTGAAAGCTGTGCATACCTACCACAGAGAGGGTAACATGGACACAACCCGTCTGTCACTGAACTGCTGGCAGCGTGTGACAGGGCAGGTGAGCAAGTCTGTCACTTGAATAAGATCACTTGGGTAAGATCAATATGGGTGCAACTGAGTTTGTGTGTGATGGTAACATAAATTCATTAGCCATGGATGTGTGTGTATATATATATATATATATATATATATATGCAAGTGGTAAACATTTTCAGTGTGAGAATATGCTTTTTTATGCAGGAGGGAAGATTTTTAGGTACATGATTCCTCCCCAAAAATGCACAGTGTGCTGAAGTTACTTCACATAATTATCTCCAGTTCAACTTTTCTAATTTATGCCTATTTATTTTTGCCCTCAGTTAAGATAAAGTCCAGGAAAAAGCACTCCCACATGGTTCAGTAAAGAACAGAAAACTCACATGCCTCTGGACAACGTCAGAAATAGCGTTCAGGGAAATGAGTAACAGGCTTAAGAAACTGCTGGCCTGAAGCCACTATGCTTTACCCAACACAAGGTGCCAACAGGAGGGAGCAGACAATGAGGGAAGCATCTCTCAGAGCAGCTTCTGGCCCTTATCAACAGAGCAGTCTTGGGTGAGTAACACAAATGGGCTGAACCTCCCTCTCCCTCTTCTTTTGCCTCTCTATCTCACTCTCCCTCTCCTTCATTTTGGTTCTTTCAGGTGAGGAATGAGGTGCATCAGGAGCATAGAGTGAGACTATTAATGTATATACATACACAAGTGTTCCCTCACCTTTAGGAAGTCAAAGTCCTTCAGCATATGAGCTACCTTCTCAGCATTTCTGCCCTCATTGAGGAAATCCAGCTCCAGAGGCAGATTCTTCTTAGCTTCTTCTACCAGCCACATGAACTCAAAATCTGGGAAGATCTGCTTCACAACCAAGAGGAGAACCTGACACAACGAAAACCGATGGTTAATCACATCCTAGCTCCAAAGCCATGCAGCTATACACAGTGCTGTGCTGACAACTATACAGGACAGTTACTTGTTAGGTAGGCTGAAACTTGAAGGAAAAAAAAAAAGAAAAAAAAAAGTAAAAAAAAAAAAAAAAAGTACCCCAAGAGCTTGCAGATAAGGATTCCTGTAGCATCATGACAAAACACATGGTACTATGCCTTGCTCTTCCAATAAATTTGGGGCTTGCCTTCCACACAGACACATCCAGAAAGTAATTGGTGCAACTGACACCAAAAGTCAGTGCTGGCAGCCCAGCTGCCCAGTGCCTCAAAGTGATAGAAAAATCCCTGGAGAAAGGAGGATGCCAAGGAGATGGCCCAAGAGCAATTCTCTTCTGTGTCTCTAACACCTGTAATTCAGTAAGTCACAACTTGGTTGCATTTGTATAGCCTGTAAATAATAAGGAAGATCTGAAATAAGGTCTGTCACTTTTTCCACTACCAAGCAACAAGAATTTTGCTAGCACAGGAAAATCCACTGAGCAGCTCAGGGAAGACTAAGTTTTAGCTACAGGTAGAAGGCTCTTAACCCTTGAAAGACTCTTTGATAGGACAGAGAGCCAGCTGCCCTTCAGTGTGACTCACAGTCATCCACAGCTGCCCTGAATGGTAACTTTTAATTATGGAAACGTGGCACTGAAATGTTTTCACCTGCAGCCTCTTCTCCATTAGGCATTCAGCCCAACAGGGTCTTGAAAAGCCCAGTTGAAAAGTTCAGAGCAATGTTTCTTTGCAGCTGCATTTAATAAAGGGGTAGGTGATGGGCACTCCTGAACAAAATCAAGATGATGTGATGGGGTGACACAATCAAAGCTGCATAGCAGCCAAGCCTTGTGTTCAAATGAAGAGTCAGGTTCTCAGCTGGTGTCACAAATATGCACTGGCTGAAAATTTGGATTATGTCTTACAGAAAATATGTATTTTTTTAAATTATTTGAGTCATAAAACAAAAATGAAGCATAAAAAATCAATCTACGTTGTGGTGTTTGTCTTTCTTGCTCTGCGCTTCCATTTGAAAATGAAAACGGTCTTGTCTGTGTGTGTTCCTAGACAGCTTCTCTCTCTAGATCACCACCTTTGTGACGGGGATTCCTGCACAGCAGGGGAAACATTTAAAACACACACAGAGAAAGATGCTATCATTGAAATGTATGGCAAAAAATAAATCCATGAACCATCAGTGCCACTTGGTTCCTAAGTAAAAATATTTATTCTCAACCCCATCTCTGCTTTTCTTATCTAAATGTCAGTTCCAAACCCAATATTCCTTTAAAAGTGTAATCATCAGGCTCCACACACTACTGAAATGATTCTTCTCCTACTATATCTAGAGCCATAAATCTTTTCAAATTTATGTCATCCAAATGAAACGTAACCAGTGATTTTCATGAACATGTATGTAAACTTCATAGGGCTGTAGGACTATCTCATTGGTGCTCGATGTTAAGAAATTCATACTTTTTTTCTGCTTTTTTTAGATGTTCTTTTGAATCAATTTGTCAACCTCAGTATCTGCAGAGACGTACTTAATGACTCTTTAGTCTGCCCCTTTTCTGACACCTGTCTAAAACACTGTCCTGATATAAGTACTGATATACAAAGAGCAAGCAGGGATCACTCTCCAGGTGCTGTCCTCATTTTTAAGGACTCAGCACTGATACTATGATACCTCAAGTAAAATGAGGATTTTTCCATCTACCTTTTCCCATTCAGGTTACTTCTCACTAGTCTGTAAAGAAGACCACTTCAATCAATAATTAAATTAACCTACCTACTTTGAATGTCTGTCTGCTTCTTACAGGACCTGAAGCTAAGCGGACATCACCTGGCTTTAAATGCAGCCTACACTAAATAAGCCTCACACAAGGTTACAATGATGCACGTAAGCCACCACTCCACAAGAGACCCCTTAAAAACAAGGCAGCACGTGTCAGCTTCTGTTATCTTGTCCCGAGCAGAACTGAAGGATGCCAAAAGCCTATTGAGAAGTGCCGTGCACATGATGATGTGTGTGATGACACAGAAGCAAATTTATCACGCAGACCATCGCAATCAGTCCTAGAAAGGACCTGAATCAAGTTCAAATCTACAGTTTCACTCACAGCCAGTTCAAACAGTTACCTATTCACAAATCAGAAGTGAAACAGAAGTGTTACTGGTATGTATTTGCTGAACCCCAGAAAGGTATGTAACTACCATCCAGCTAAAAATGGTATGTTTTAGGTGGAAACCCTTCAGTAGTGGGATTGCTTGAACTTGAGCAGGTCTAGAGTGTAGTGTCATGTCATCCCACCACAGAACCCCCTGGGATGCTGTCCTAATTCACAGACTAGCCACATTGCTCAAAGCAAGTAGTGTTAGTGGCCTAAAGGAGCTCTGTCTATTTGCTCTGCTGGTAGTGGGCTGGCAGGATCTTTGATATGTTCTTCTCCTGTGATGGATAGCAGTGTTTCAATGCATCAGCTATACACTCCAAATGCTTATCAGACCTCCTGAGCTTCATCTTGCCCACTTTGATCCCATGGACACTGCTGTCTGCCAACAGATGTGCATTTTATTGTACATTCACGTTATACATAAAGAATCAGGATCACAAAAAAGGCTTAAATAAGATTTACAGGCCTAAAACTTCTCCTGTCTTCCACCTCATCCCAATCTCTATTTCTGACCTCCGCCTCTGCCAATGTAGAGTAGAACTAGAACTTTTATCTAGTTCCTCCTCCTCATGTGCTATATTTCAGAAACTTGGGTGAAGCAACAGCACTGCAGTGGGAACATGAGCGGTATCCACCATTCAGGATGGCAACAGGAGACAGGCACTCATTCTTTTTCCCAACAGAATCACTCACGTGTTTGCCTGTCCCTGTTGCAGTACCCTTCCCATATTTCAACGTTCTCTTCACCAGCACAAATCAGCTCAGCGTTAAGGAACTGATCAAGAACCAGGCTGGAATCACGGCACTTCAGCAACTGCTGAATCTGTATTGCAGCTAAACTAGAAAGCATGCTGATTTTGCTCAGCTATACAGTCCTGACTACAATGGGAGCTGAGTCCAATTATAGCCAGCAGTTAACGGGCATACAGTCAGTGGAGAGACTTCAGGACTCAATCCCTAATTTTTAGGGTCTCATATGAACTTACTCTTATGTCTCTCATATTTACTTGTTTCTCCTCCACTTTCACCTTCTGACTTTCTTGTTTCTCCACCCCTGCAGCTGCTCATTCCTGTCTCCCCAATCACACATCACTCCCTCACTGCAAACCTCACCAATTTTCTTTATTATTCTTGTAAGCCAGCAGTTATCTCAGTGGAGATTTCAAGGCTACAGGATGCAGGTCACTATGCCCAGAAGTCAGTGTTATTACACCTACCTACACCACGGGTGAAGTGGCCCCTGACATGTTTGCATAGCAATTGTTCTGTAAGACAGTCGTTAGGTAGTTTTACCTCCATCAGCAGAATATCCTTGGAGCTCTGAGCTTGGACCTTTGGGTGCTGGACTTTCACTGCCACTGTCCTTCCATCCTGCAGCACTGCCTTGTGGACCTGGGCTAGCGATGCTGCTCCCAAGGGGGTGTCCTCAAAACTCACAAAGAGCTCTTCGATCTGTCAGGAAAAGAAAATGAGGTGTCAGCATCCAGAGCTGGGCTAAGGAAACCTCTGCTCACAGGCCAGGCACAACACATGCCAAAGCTGGGCAGGCTCAGCCTCTCCTTCCTCCCTCCCGAGCTGTCTCTCTGCTTGGCCTCCTAGGGAAGTGCCCATGGGGATACTGTGCTCATGGAAATCTGTGCCAGAGCCCACAACACACATTGCACCTGTGAGAGGGAACAGGAGGCAGCGTGTGAGTGGCCTCTCCAGGCTGCTCTGAGGCCCAGCGGAGCAGTCACAGTCAGTGCCCCTGCCTATTTACTGGCTTTGGGACAGCTCTCCCTTTCTCTGCAATTTGCTGCACATTTTTAAGCCACCCACCTGCACTCCTGCACAGCTGCCAGCGCATGTTCCAGCGCAGCACCAGCCAGCTCACGGGGTGAAAACCAGCACAGGACTGGGGGCAGTGGTGACGGCTGGACTGTATGGGACCCTCTAGAATTGCAGTTTGCACTGCCAGAGACTCGGCTGGAGCACATTTCACATGCTGGGTTTTCTCATTCCTTGAACGAAGGTGACCAGTGTGCCCAGCTGATGAAAAGCACCGGGTGGATACAGCAGAGCCCGCTTTGTGAACAGGAGGGGAAAGCATTCGCAGCCCTGGGTGTGATACTTGGGACTAGACTACAGGGACAGCTGCAGATCAGGAAGCAGATTCACCAGGAGGAGCCCAGGGAACCAAACCCAGACAGGTTTGGGAGAGATGGCGGGACATGGAGCAAGGCCCGTCTTGGTGGCAGTGCCACCAGGGCAGAGAGGCTTCGGGCACGGAGCTAACACGAGCTCTGAGGTACCCAGAAGAGGCAGCGAGGGGAAACCCTCCCACCCACCTCCCTCAGCAGTATCAGTTTCGGGGGAACATTTGAGAAGCCTGTAATTTATGCAGCAACAAAAAAGAAAGTCAGTCAGTGCACTTTTATAACCTGCTTCTAAAAAGGTAATTAAAGACGGGAGCTGCAGAGAGCTAGTAATTAAATATGAATAAAGCCCTTCAAAGCTGAGCTTTCATGCAAAGTGTTAAACAAATATTCTTTTTGCTGACAGGGAGGAAAAACACTACACAAGGAGCAGCCCGTTCCCTCCTGCAGCTGCCAAGGAAGGAGCCCCCTCCTACTCTACCCTACTCTATCCTTCCCTCACAGTCCCTTCCATGGAAAACTATTACTAGCAACAAACTGGAGCATTCGCAGCAATTAGATTCCAGCAGAGACTCAACTGCCTCCAGTAATTCTCTAGGAAGGTGCCTTTTATTTATTTATTTAATTCCATTTGGTCCTGGCGGCAAAATCAATTAAGTAAAACAACTGCATTTAAAAACTGCTAGTTATGTGTTTTTTAATTACAGCAGGTCCATGATTCAAACCTATTGACACTGCAGTCTCAAGAGAAAAAAAAGCCAAGGTTTTTCTCTCTCTTCATTCTTTTTTTTTTTTTCTTCTCTGTTCACTTGATTTGGAGATTCTGTTTTCAGATTAGTGTAAGGAAAGAAACATTTCTAGGCTGACAGATGGTTCAGAGGACACGTGTTCACGGCAGAGGGACTTTTAGCTTCAGGTAACACTTGTCTGTCAGATGAAGAGAGAACCTGTTAAGGAGAAGAACCGTAAGGTGGCCAGGAGCATGCTGGGCTACACGATTCCATAAGGAAAGAAAATATGCACACGGAAAACTTCCCACATGAAGTCAAACTGGAATTCTCTTCATCTCTTCCATTCCCCTACATCCTTGTATTATAGGGCGGGCCTGGAGAGACCAATATACCAGCCAAAACTGCTGGACTAACTGTTGTAAAGGTGGCAAACTTCTCCAATGATCAAAGCAGAGGGTTCAGTAGCTTAAATTCTGGGAAAATCTAGTTGTGCTAAGAAAGCATATAGACAGGATAAAACTATATTGTTGATCCAATAATTTTTACCAGCATATAAATACAGGAAAATAATTATATATATATAAACACTATTTCATGGCTAAACTTGCTCAGAAAACACTATTTGAGAACAGTTGTCTCTTGAATGTCTCTCAGGCCAAAGGATTTCATTTCAAAACTCATGAATCGGGACAAGAAGCCAGGAGAGCGCTCGTGTCCAGCCCAGCGCTCCCGCTGGGATCCAAGAGGGAGCCTGTGCAGAGCTGGAGGCCGCAGGCTCCAGAGCAAGGACAAGGACCCCAAGGGGATTCTTGGATGAGTCCTTCAGGGACAGCAGGCTGGGCTCCTATGGCCCACGGGCACCTGGCTAACAAGAACCCTTAGCAGAAACTGCACCCATCGCTCGCAGGACAGATAATTAGCAAGCAGAGGTTGGGGGCAGCCTTGGGGCCCACCTGGTGCAGCACTTAAGGGGCTCCTGTGCTTCCTTCAGGCCCCCGAGCAGGTCTCAGAGGGCCTTATCAAAGCGGCCGTTACCATCTGCAAGCCTGGCAGGAGATGAAACAAGGCCAGCTTCCAGGCAGGTTTAATAAAGCTTTAAAAGGGAGAAAATGAACTTTAGGGCTATTCTTTCCACGGAGCTGTGGAGCCAGATGCAGGTTTACAGCTGCACAGGTGAGCAGCGGCCTCTCACGTGGCCGTCTCCCTCATTAGCCTCCTGTTTATCCGCAGCCCCACCGGGCACAAGCCCAGCCAGCGAACGTGGCCCTGCACTTCAGCGGCCGGAAAAGCGGCCCTCCTTGTTGAATTCTAAAGAAGGAGGCTCTTTTAATTTTAAAATATGCAAAATCTTTTCATGATTGTTGGTTATTAGTATTCACCCCTCAGGGAGCAGATATAAAAGCTCTTCTAGGATCTACTCAGACCTTTATTAGTACGTGGTTGTGCTGAGGTTGCACTTCGAGACGCTCAGTGCCGCTGTGCAGCCACCACGGGCCCTGGTTTCACCTGGAGGCCTCCTCACACGCTGCAGTGTCTTTCCCAAGCACACACTTCCCTGGCAGTTTTGTGCAGCCCACTAGCTCTCAGAGGGGTTGCAGGGCCAAGCACCAGAACGCCTCGGTATTTTAGAGGATCCAGTCCTTAGACATGTAGGAATTACAGGACGGCAACTGGATTCAGGTTCTTAAACCAAAGTCCTTTCTGAAAACATTCCCTTTTGCGACCTCCCTGGAATGCTCTGGAGGGTCTTTGGCAGAGCTAGAGCTTAACCCAGATATCCTGAATAGGCTGCAGCCTGGTGTTTTCATCTCCAAACCATACATGATAAATGTGCCCATCTTGCTAGTTATTTTCCTTTGGAATTATTGCCTCTTTATCCCAGTCTTTTTATACCCATATGCTGTAGCAAGTGATCAAATTCCAGCATGGTTCTCCAGTGCCTTTACATGGTCGGGACAGAATGAGGTCACTACAGAGACACAATTTATGGGTCCTATGCAGAAGGTTTCCAACAGTACCCAGGAGGGTCCTGAAAATCTCGTTTCCCATATCCACTTACAGAGAACCTTCACCCAACTGCCAAGCTGAACCAATCCAAAAGAAATGAGCCACTGACACTTTTCAAATACTCAACATTTCCCAGGAGAAGACAGTCCTTCACCAAAGCATTTCAAGATTGCCTTCAAATGTTTTCAAGGACTTAAAAGGACTCTTTGGTCTAGAAAGAGATACAAGGAGGGACTGCCATACAGATCTATAAAATCACTCCTGCCACACAGAATGTGACTGGGAATGTTCATTCTCTCCTCAGAAGATTCAGGATCAGCAATTGTCTATTAGCACAAAAAAATAGGATTAAAACAAGAAAAATGATTTTTTTTTTCCACAGTCATTGTATTTAGGCTATGGAATGTATGTATTTAGGCTCCTTGTCACTGGATGTTCTGAATGCCAGAAGTGTGGGTGGATTCAAAAAGCAATTAGACAAATCAATGAAGAAAATCCATCACAAATTATTAAACACCCAGGTACAATCTCTGGCCCAGGAAATCTCTAATGATCACATCAATGGACGCTGGAAGATCACATCAGGGAAAGTTTGCCATACTTTTATAACTCTTGCCTCTCAGCCAGTGTTGGCTGCAGTTGGAGGCTGAGTGGCTTTACCCTTTGATCTGACCAGTATGGCCATCATGTTCTTCAGCAGTTCTTCCCACCAGACTGACCTATCCCAATGACAAGAGGATGGAAGATGAAGGAATCACTTGACATATGCTGTCAGCCTGGGGCTTGGTTGCTGTCTGACAGGCTAGAAAGTTACTGACCTGCGAGTTACTGAGAGGGTGTGTGGGAACCACAGGGGGAGGTGGACCCGTCTCCAGGGAAAGTCCTGCTAACAGGGCTCTTCACAAAAAGCATCATTCAACTTTCAGGCAATAAGCTTAATTCCACTACCACAAGTGGAATAGATTGGTCAGAAGCGGGGTTCAGAGTGAAGATCTCCCATAGCAGACTCCGCCAGGACCTAGCAGATCTGGAGAACATGTGGCAGGAGCTAAGGAGCTGCAGCACAGAGAGGCCATCTCCAGACACTTGCCTGTGGAAATCTCTTTATCGACACTAAGACTCTATTTGCTTTCAAAACCGTGAATGCCTTTCCTGGACTAGGTCCAGAAGAGGCAAATGTCAGTCTAGTCTGGTCACCTTTTCAAGAACAGGTAACTATCCATGGCACCACGGTATTGCTGATCCCTACAATTCTGCAAGACCAGAGTTCTAGGCATGAGAAGATGTTACTTCAGAGTAGAGATCTACCTCCCAGGCACATAAGGAGAACTTTTTTTCCATTCACCCAGCCTTTCTATCCTCTCTACAAAAACAAAATGTCACAGTGTTGCTCCAAGAATTATTAAGACAGCAAAAACTGAAAGATTAGATTTATCGTGGCAGACAGTGGATTATGAGGAATAATTTATCAAACGTCAGAACCAACGGCCCACGATTTATGGAAGGCTTTTTTGAGTCACTGAAATCTGATTGGGCTTCTTCTCCACTAATGAATGCCAAGCCTAATTGATGGGTCCTA